TTGCGAAACTCTCATGCTTTGATCTCCAAATCTTCCCAACTTATGCTCGCTCTTTTGGGTCGTTGAGGGGTTTTCGACCGGATACAAAATCTTGCACCCTTTTGAATGACGGCACAAGTTAAGTGACTTCTCAAAATAACAGTCTGACTATATTTGGGTGTGGGAAGATAGTCATGGGCTCGACCGGCAGAAATCGTGATCTGTTATGGAGCTAAACTTTACTATTTCCCTTTCAAGGAAGGCGAGAGGGGAAGAATGGTAGGGGAGGGGGAGGAGTTTTTGTGCTTTTAAGCCGCACCTCGTCCAAATATCTCAAGCGAAATTATCTCAATGGGCGGTTTGGTTGTTTTTACAGGAATTAATCTATGCAGGTTTGATCCCAGTTGATCACTGGTGAAGCCGCCGCCGTATACAAAAAATTGATATCTTGTTTGCGTGAACATGCTGCATGGGGAGCTGTCTTCCCATTGGAGGGCGATGCTGTCCATTGAGCCCTCCATCTCCGGTGCCGATGCGGATCACCTTTCAATGGTGACAAATTACTCCGGATCCACCGGAAATCCTGCCCGTCGAGCGAATCATCTCTTTTGATCGACGTGGATCCATCTACGGGGGCTCTTTGGGGGTTCGGGTGGATGGGCAGCCTTCAGCGCTATTAATCATTCGGACGTGTTTCAAAAATTCGGGCAGGAATTACGTTACGAAAGAAAATTGTAACTAAAAATTTGGTGGGAAATCTAATATTTCTTCCCAAATGATCGTGCTCCAGGCAGGCAAGGGGGAGGGCGAGGTGGGGCGAGGGGGGAGCCGTACTAACCACACCTACAGAGAGGTTAAAATCATTTGCGCCATTCTGATTTTTTCTTATGATATGCTCTGACTCGCCTAATGAAGAGGTTCATCAGATAATTGCACCAATAATTTTAATCTTCATGCATGACATCGGGGAAGCATTTGCGAGATCGCCATCGAAGCCAGACCGGTCAAAGAACTCAAGGAATTAAGGGCAATAATTTATTTTAAGTTCTCCAAACCACATGGAAGTCACCTCGAAACTACCTGAAACCCTTACACCCTTTATAATCTTGTCAATTTTCACAATTATTGAAACAACATAATAATTCTTCCCGCTCTCGAGAAGCAGATCGCCCTCTTTCTGGGGCAGGTGGCATCGCCAGCATGAATTCCAAGTTCCAAGTACCAAGCATCAAGAACGGAGCGAAAAAAATACGTTATGCAAACCAGAATTCGATAAGGCTAGAGCCGACGGGCCGTGCAACACTTGAACGTTGAAAAAAATATATCATGCTAAAGGAGCCAGGGCGATTTCTCGGTTCAGCCCGGGACATAGCGAAACTCAAGGCCAGGAATTCCCGGAAACGGGAAATCAATTACCTGGCAATCCTGGGAATTCTGCTCTTCTCCCTGAAATATTAAAGCCAGAAAAATCGACCTTCGTGCCCTTAATAAGAAAAGACACAATTTCCGTTCATGACTGAGCATCCGGAAAGATAATTTCCTCGAAACCTTGAGAACCGGTTGGCCTTTCTCGTTGCCACCCCTGGCAACGAGAAAGACCAGCCGGTTGATGTTGCGACAGGCGAGTGCAACATGAAGGGCGATTTGGAAGTCAGCGCCATCTGGTTTCTTCCTCCTCGGCCTCCCATTCAAGTGCGACTACGAAAGAGAGAGCGACGAGGAAACAAACGACTAAACATTTTGATGAGGGATCAGAGATTCAGGGGAATCTCCCTCTAATAAGGAGAAGTGCTGCATAAATACTCGTCTTCATTGTTTTCACTATCCCGAAGGGAATGACAGCTGGCCATGAAAGCCAATGCTGGCCATGTCAGCCGATACTGGCAAAAAGCCAGTCAATAAAAAAGTCTATGTTGAAAGAGTTTGGCTTTTGGCGCGAAAAAGTAGACAGAGAAACCACCATTTTCCTCTGTACAACGGCGATGTATTCTTGAAGATGCGTGCATGTTGAAAAAAAAGAACATCATTCCGATGATTGCAAAAAAAGCATGAAAATTTCGCGGCAGTGAAATGATTCAGGTGGCCCGCAAGAGCTTAGTCAATCACTGACTACATCTAACAATACACAAATCATTATTTCCAATAAGCCGAAGCATTTAAAAGTGAAGAGGAGAGGAACACGTGTGGACATTGCACGTTCAACAGCGAACACCAGAAAAGTCACGCGATTCTGGGAAGTTAATCACTTGCGTTGCTTCAACGTCGTCGATGCCAGGGGAGAATGATCCGGACGATGCAAGGGATATGATTTATTTTCGGGAGGAAAGGAGAGGCGGCACCTCGTCTGAAAGTCCAAAATCCTGGAATTGTCCTCATGAGATACGCAAAAGTCCAAGGAAAAAGGATCGATTTAAGAACATTTCGAGGCGCGAGGAGAAACTTGCACCTGAGTTCAGTAGTACTGGCAGACGAAGGGGTACTTCGCGGAGCAATGCCAGTCATGCCAACTGTCACCACTAAGAACGAGGCAATTCTGACTTCGTCCTCCGCCCGGTTGGCCCGGATACCATCTACCATAGCTTGTGATCGGAGTGTTGTTCACCTGACGAAAACCTGGACGATTGGAACTGAATAAATATGGTGGGGTGGGGGCTTTGCAATGTTTCGCAAAATTTGATTCAAAGTAGCTATTAAACATTTTAGACAAGGAACGCAAACACGGAACGCATTAGCCTAAAATAAGTAAAAAATGGTTTGATAGTATGGAATTTGAATAGAATAAAAATTTGCATTAACTTTTTTCATAATTGCTAATGCCCTTTTCTCGAAACTATTTGAACAGATCCTAAAACTCTGCATCCTTTCCACAAAAACCAAACATCCGACTTCATTGCCCACAGTACGAAAAGCGAAACGAGATTTTCATATCTTTATTATTTTCATATCTTACCTTTTTTGAAACTTAACGTGCGGAAAAGGACAAGAAGACCGATTCGACTAGTGCGCACGATGGATGCATGGCTGACGAGTGCAATCGCTATCCTCCAAAATTCCTTCCGACCAATCCCAGAGGTTTCCTCATCGTCCTGAGTTGTCAGAGCTGAATGTTCCTTCTCAAACGTTGAAATGGTTTCTTACGTCGATCCTGCAATGTATTTGGGAGGCAATAATGCCGACTGCTTTTAAAAAAAATCCGAAATATCCGATCCTGCGTATTTTTTTAAACAATTAATTTCTGTTATAATAAAATCAGCTATAAACGGTTGAAAAGGAAGAAAAGAAAAAGTCATTTTATGATTATTTCTGTTTGTCGTAACTTATAAAAATGACATGACCAAGGGACGTATTTTCGTTCGTAGAAGAGTGTTCATTGCGAAACTCTCATGCTTTGATCTCCTTATCTTCCCAACTTATGCTCGCTCTTTTGGGTCGTTGAGGGGTCTTCGACCGGATACAAAATCTTGCACCCTTTTGAATGACGGCACAAGTTAAGTGACTTCTCAAAATAACAGTCTGACTTTATTTGGGTGTGGGAAGATAGTCATGGGCTCGACCGGCAGAAATCGTGATCTGTTGTGGAGCTAAACTTTACTATTTCCCTTTCAAGGAAGGCGAGAGGGGAAGAATGGTAGGGGAGGGGGAGGAGCTTTTGTGCTTTTAAGCCGCACCTCGTCCAAATATCTCAAGCGAAATGATCTCAATGGGCGGTTTTATGGTTTTTACAGGAATTAATCTATGCAGGTTCGATCCCAGTTGATCACTGGTGAAACCTCCGCCGTATACACATCCTCTCCATTGCCGAGCTTAGATTGTGTAAGTTTTCAGAGCAGAAGTTGAGGACAAGAGGATAAATCCTCATTGCATGAACCGCAAAACTATAAAATATTTTATGCACAACAGATATCACAGAGAAACGACGTTAGTGAATTGTTACGAGCGCATCATCGGCCAGATATAGCGACATCTATTATACTCATTTATCGAGAAATTGCAGATACGCAAATTACGGCATTGTACTTTACTTTAGCTTGGCACATTGATGCGAGAAGCTCACAGTTTTCCCGTGCGTCCAACAAGGATATCAATGGAAAAATTGAAGCGGATCATGAATATACTTGAAATATTGAGCTCGAAATAGGTGAAACCTGTCTGGACTCCAGAAGTCTCCGTGACCCCAAGAAAAAAAGTTTTCTTCGATGTGAAACCTAAATATTTCTACCACTTCATTATAAATTGCGTTCATTGGGGCTTACAATTCGATATTGTGGATTTGTTTTCATTTCCATACTAGAAGCAGTGAAATACACGTGTACAGTATGTTATATCTCCAAGGTTCAGGAGAGTTGGAGTTTTCCACTCAGTTACACGTTATAGTCTTTTTATTTTCATTTTTATTATACATAAGCGACAAATCAACGACAAGAAGGAATGCTTAAGGTCCCGAACTATTCATTTTATCGCATGGCGTTGATTTTAGCGTAATGAATGAGAGAAACCGGCTGAAAAGATTATTCCTGCTTCAATTCCTGTCTACTAAAGAGATATTATACCCGGAATGAATATTGATATCATGTGAATCTTCAGAAGAAACAATTTCACGGTCTCTACTTGATTAACTATAGATATTCCTAACCCCGTACGTTAGAATATTGAATAGCGTGCTATTCAATATTCAATATTCTATTTACGCAATTTTGACTATCGGACGCATAGATGTGAGAAAAGAGTGCCGAAGTTTGCGAATCTTATGTGAGGTTTTGAAACATATCCATCAAGATATGAAATAGGGCTCAAGCAATTGGGAAAAACTGTAATATTCCTCGTATGACATTTATTTCATACGGTATAGCAAATGAATAAAAATGCGAGGAATTGCTGCATAGAGAAACAATAGTAATATGAAATTTGTCATGCTTTACGGCGTCACTGCCCTCCATTAAATGATACCAAACTGCTGAAGGTTTAAGATTAAAAAAAAAAGTAAAACAAAAATGGTACATTGACCTATTTAATGTATTTTCTCAATGATATAGACCAAATGTGATGGATTCATACTCATTCGGGTCTTCGTATATCCACGTGCCTTCCACGAGTTCGTCGGTGGCGCCTTGCCAGATACTAATGGGGTTGGGGGTGACACTTCTGATCGCTTTGTAGACTGTGGGGCTCGTAGCGGAAGCGAGTCGGGCCCCATCCAGGCAGCAGACCTGACTCGCCTCAGTCCAGTTCATATACCTATTGTAGTACTTGTAAAACCGACCATCTTCTTGAAACAACTTGTAACCTTCTGCCAGAGGAACTGCGATGGAAGCAAGTACTTAAAAATTGGTGACTGAATGAAAAATGTCTCAAAATCGGGAAATGACGCCAACCGCTTCCCGGGCAGGGCGGCGTGACGTCTTGATTCAGGATTTTCCACACGTTGAAGCCAACGCATTTGGCCTTGAGAGGACAACGGGAATGCCGCGGGCAGACATATGAGACTTCGGAGAGCAATGGCGCCGGGAGGATGCCATTCCATCCGTACGAGAAATTCATCGTTCGATTCTCCATCGAAGGAGGAGGTGTCAGGCAACCACTGAATGCTACAAAGGCTGAAGGGGAAAGGTAGAATCACATTCATTAAGCTAAAATATGATTATGATGGATTGAAATGATGTAAGCTCACCACTGACATAGACCATCGCACCAGGGGCATCTTGTAACGTGGCATTTAGAGTGTTCACGAACTCACACTTGAAATTTATTGGATACCAGTTGAAGGCATTGCAAATCATTCCAAGAGAATGGCAAATGGAGCCGCAATCCACCGCGTTCATCGCCTTTACTTCATCCTTCCGAGTTCCAGCAAGAGGCCACAGTTTCGCGCCTTGTTTCAGCAGATGAAAGGCAGTTGATTGGACATCTACGAGAGAAATACCACCTTCCCCTGCAATATGTACACTAGTCTCCACCTGAAACTTCGGGTCTGTCTCCTCCATATCCATCCTGCACATAACAACATCCAAGCGACTTTTCTCGGAGTCGATCATGTAATAACCAGGATGAGCGTTTCCAGCTTGGCGCAGAGTTGAACAGGATTGTGCTGGATTATCCGGGGACGGAATCTTGCCTTTGCAGGTCAATCCACCCAATGTGTAATTCGCTTTCTGCCCCTCAAATTGTAGTCCACCGAAGCGCAACTCGGTTATGGGTAAGGATGTTGCATTCGTTATTGCTCCTGAGTCTGATTCCCAATGAGGGGGTTTTGCATCACAGTTGCAAGGGAAGTTTGTGTCTGTGCAGTTGCCAGAGAGACCGCAGTTGCATATGTGCTGTCCTGCTTTTGACCCGTCCCAGTAGTATTGTGGTTCGCCGTGACGGTCCACCCACCATGCATAGTGTATGTTTCCAATTTTGAGGGCCGAGGAAAAACAGTCATACTGGAACGAGACACGGTCAATCCTGAGTCGGAAACATCTACAACAATGAAAGTTAGAAGTATTCAATAGTCAGTATTCTGGTTTGCGGATATTCTGTTGTGTATCCTAGGTGTCTGCAGTAGCACAAGGAGGATGTACTTGGTGGCACAAAATATATTTTTGGACTACTGTAGAGGGGATGAGAAATAATGAATGAAGTCGTGCGATAGGAATTCCTGACCGATATAGCCGACAAATATTTTTGACAATTAAACTTCGCTCAAAGTAGAGCACATTTGAATGAATATGCTTGTTTTGGGATATGATCTCGAGCAATATTCGGGAGTTGTGCATGTACTGGCAGCATCATTAAATACAAGTGAATTTTTCCCCCCTTCAGGGAAGCAAACTTGCAATGGTAGCACCTTCATGGTTTACCATTATCCACGGTAGCAATCAATTTATATTTTCATTTTGAAGTGGCCAAAGTTATTTTTAAGTACGTCTCTGTCAAAATACTGTGTTTTCTTTCTTTCTCTTTCTTAAAATGCGCCTCTTTTGTGCCTGTAAGATTCTTACGCGTTGACTGCCACGCGGAATGTAGACTTCTTGTTGCTGTTGTTTTCGTAGGACAGGAAATTGTTCGTTTTAGTGGACCTTCTTTTCTGAAAAAAAAGGGACCACTTGCGGTCCCGTTCTGTCCGTCCGTGTGTCACACGTTGGTTATATGACGATAAATGAAAAGGATATTGGCCAGATAAACGCGAAAATTGGCAAACGGGTACATAGGTGTACAAGATACAAGAAGGGGTCGTTTTCTGGCGAATTTTGCACAAAAATTGGCTCTTTTTTTTGCAAAACATTGGCAAACATTTTTCAGTTACGCGTAAAATGCGGGTTTTCCCTACGCTGAAAGGAGGCCCACTACAGGACAGGACTTGCCCAACGTGTTGTGCAATTAACGTGTTCAGCCTCACATTTTTTGAAAGGATGAGATAGTAGGTTTTCTTGAAAATTTGTTAATGGTAATCTGTGGCTCATGATAAAAGGACATTATAATACAAAGTCCCGAGACGACAGGATCGACTCACTCTGATATGCTGTTGGCACGACTTCGATTGCTGGATCAATGCCACCATCTGTTTCATCGGTGAACCATACCTTATGCTGTGATTGTAGCATCCAGGATCAGCACATCGATCGATCGCAGTGTTTTCCATCGAATCATGGAGGACAATCGTGGACACTGGATCTAGATAGCAGGATAAATGAGAGAGCGTGAGCCGGAGGAATAAAAGAGATTAAATATTATTTTTGCGAATAACAAAAAGATTGTTTCAACGACCTGACTCCATATCACAGAGCACTTTGATGGGTGCCTCGCCGATCAAAACTCCGTCGGGATCAACTAAGTATTCTCCTGTACGTGTCACCCCCAAGTCTGCAAGCGTCTGACACGTTCGGGGTGCTATGAGAAATGTATTCATTTATTCCTGTCCTCTGCTGGAAAAACAGACCACAGGGCAAGGACTTCTAATATATAGACGATTGTGACTGACTGACTGACTGACGCTAATTCTAACCATGTTCTAGGAAGGTTGGAAATCTGTAACTTGGTACACATGTATCTTTTGGGATGCAGATTTCAGAAAAAATCTGATTTTAAAGGTACACACCCTATGGGTACACATTTGGGGGGAAAGTTTTTTTTTTAAATATATAATGTGACTTATAAGAATGGGATTCAGAGAATCAATTGGATAAAGCATGTTCGGTGGTGTAGTCGTAGCACATTTAACCGGCGGTGGGGAGATCCTGGTTCACTTCCCGGCCATTCCTTGGCTTTTATTTGGCTTATTTTGGCTTCTCTGTCCCGTTACTCATTCCCCCTCTCTAACATTATTTTTGCTTGAGTAAAACGGAGAGACATGGAAAGCTAAAACCTGGCATGGACATGCCCAGCGAGACAATGAGTTAAGGGAAAATGCAAAATTTTATATCCTTGCCTTGGGGGGATATTATTTGGAGCCGACATTTTCAAGAATTTTTTTTTGTCCTGGCGTATTAAGCGGAGTGGAAAGATGAAACTTGGTACATAACTACCTATTAGGATGCTGCAGAAAAATTCACACTTCGAAAGTAAATGCCCTAGAGGCACAAATTTCAAAGGGAGATGTTTTCAACTAAATTTTTTGCATCAGTTAAATTGATGAACATGGAATGTGAAACTTTGCAGGAATGTTACTACTGAGACAGGAGTTATATACAAATGTGAGGTCTCGATGCATCCCCTGGAGGAATTTTCTCGAGGGGCGATGTTTCGGAAAAAAAAATTGTCCAGGCGAATTGGACAGTAATGAAAAGGTGAAACTTGGCACACCAATAAGAGACATGGTATTCTTGATTTCAGGGAGTATTCAGTTTTCATGGTGCATCCTCTTCGGGCATAGCTTTTGGGTGCGTCGGCTTTTCCAAACATTGTTTTTCTCCAGGGAAAAGGGCAGACGTAAAAGGTTGAAACTTTGTGGGCATGTAGTTCACTGAGCACAGATTTTGGTATTTAAAAAAATTGCACTTTTCGGTTAAAACGGCTCAGATCACATATTTTGCAAAAGGCGTATTTTCACGAATTTCCTGATCCAGAATAAACAGAGCGCGCTAGAAAGTGTAAACTTGGCAAAGAAGATCCTGATGGATAGCTGAGTAAAGAAAAATTTCTACTTTTATCATATATGGAGAATCGTGAGTACCTGACTGACAGAAGTCGTTATTCGCATGCTGAGTACAGGAGAAATTGTACTTCGATGATACATGCCATAGGGGCACACCTTTTTGGGGAACATATTTTCAAGTAGTTCTCTTTGCTTCAATCAAACGGAGACATGGAAAGCTGAAACTTGGCAAGAACATGACTGCTGACGCACTGTGCTAAGGAAAAATGCCAAATTTCCAAAATATCTTTTTTTTTGGGGGGGGGGGGTCATATTTCTTGGGGACGTTACGTTTTCAAAGAATCTTTCATATCCTAATGAATCGGGCAGAAATGGAAAAGTAGCAGCTGCAGCAAAACGAACGTGATATTGATTTAAGGAAAAATTCTACTTTTGTTGTGCGTCTCTTCACAGCACAGCTTTTGCGTGGGTTGCTTTTCCAAATACATTTTTTACTGCCAGCCAAAAGATGAAACGTATAGGTTGAAACTGGGTGGCATTAATTTCCCTGAGACTACGTTTCAGAAAAAAAATTCCGTTAAAACCCATCAGGGCACTTTTTTTGTAAGTCCCATTTTCCTGAATTTCTTTTTTGATCCAACGAGACAGAGACAAAATGTCAAATTCCCTCAGAAGTACCTATTTGATGCTGAGTACGGGAAAAAACCTACCGTTGAAATATGTCTCCTTAGCGTAGATTATAGGAGGGAAGTATTTCAAAATGTATTCCCCACCCTTATACAAAGGGACACATGAAAAGATTTCAGGTTAGGCACACTAGAAATAATAGAAGTAATGATTTTGATGAAAATGAAGACTTTCGTCCTCATGTCACGTATTTCAATGGGGATGTACTTTAAATGTGTTTGCCATTTCGCAAAGAATAAATGAATTTCAATCACTATCCAAGGCAATGGAGCGCCGAAGGCGCGACCATAGCGAGTTTGTTTATCAGATGTTGTCTCTAAGATGTCTTCTTTATCAGATATAGACGACATCTTAGAGCCTGCACAGAAATTGCAGTTCGGGCAAAGACAGCATGTCATATCACTGCCTTGAATATGCAATCGGCTGAAGTGCTACCATCAACGCTGTCCAGTAGATGCGGGCGTGTTAGTCGATCTAAGGCGATGCTAAAAATGAAATGAGAGCCCTATCAAGAGCAGCATATAATAACGAAGTTTCTGTCAGCAGTAGGCGAAATATGAGTTACTGCAGAAGTTACTGCAGAGCTCTCTCTATTCGAAAACGGTGTTTCATGGCAGCGAGACTTTGACTCGTGCATATACCCGCGCCCGCGAAGCGCGTGAGAGCGGACAGAACGTTAAAAATCCAAGGGGGAAGGGCGCTCATAATGGAGCTCGTTGCACGGCTTGACCTGTAGCGCTATAATGTGATTCGCAAGATTTTATCTACGAAAAGGACGCACTTCAGGCGAAGAGTCGTCTTCCCGGTACAAGAGCCATTCTATTCTAAGTCATCAATGTGTTGTGGAGCCGTATGTAGTCAAGGGATTTCAATACTTCATGATGCTTATCGCTGAATCCTCCCAACATCGTAAGAACCATCCATGAAGAATAACTACGAGTAATTCACTAGTGAAATGGTGGTGACAGTAGCTGTCCAGTAAACTAGACATTCCTAGCAGTGATTGGGCATGCTGTGGATACCGGAACAGACATTTATGTCATTAACTCCAACATATTTTACTATTCGATGTTCGTCGACAATTATGATCGAAGGGCTTCATCAAGTCTCCACTCACCTATTTGCAGGCTAATAGCCTCCAGATATTGGAGTCTTGCATCTGTTGTGTTCAGTTGAAGTTTGTCTCTTTCCCGGAGATGTTCCTGGAAGCTAGACTTGAGGTTTTCGTGATCTTTTCTCATTTTCTCGTAATCATTACTCAGTTTCTCAGTAGTTCGTCTCATGTTCTCAAATTCATACTTCAATTTCCTGTTGTCGTTCCTGAGGCTTTCCTTGTCCTCCAACAGAACTAACACCATTTTCTCCAAGTTGCCTCCATTATTTTCCCGTCCATGAATGGGAGTGCTTTCCAGTGCCTGGTAATGGAAGATGGACTAAATATACTAGTGGAAGGTAAAACCTGCTGTAAACCGGAGGAAAGGAAATACTGTACTCCGTTATCGTGGAAGGAATCACAATGATCTTCAGACACCACCACCCGAGTAGGATCCGAACGCATTCAATGAACGTTTCATCCAAGTTATTGCCAGCGTTGCATTAATGTCCTTGGGAACTTGATGTTAACTACTAAAATGTTCAAAAACCAAAGCAATGGAGAGCACGTCAAATTATGCGTTGCCTGAAAAACGTGAATAAGATTTTTCCAGGGAAAAGTTTTCAATAAAACTTTCCTTTTTAGGATTCATCCGATATGCAATTAACGTTTTTTAACACACATACACACAAGAATAGACAAGAAGAGAATCAATTGTCGCCAGACCTAGCTAGCGGCCAGAATCTATATATGTCTATAACCTATATACGCTATCTGTCTAAACTCCGGACCGCGGTTGCTTTGCATCCGAGATCATCCGGTTTGAATTATTATTAACCCAAGAATTGCTTCATGTTAAAATCCAGATATAATTTATTGTTTACTCTGAGAGGGGAAATTGCAATCCACTGCAGCCGTTTTTTAGCCGCAAAGGAGCCACAAAACCGTTTTTTCATAGCCCCGAAAACATGAAAGCTTCAAAAAGAACTCCAAATATGTATTTTTTTTCATTATTATAAAGATTACATTTTCCCAAGTCTTCATTTCCATTATCCACCCATAGTGCGTTTAGAACGTCGCACATGCCGATATTCACGGAAATCCACATGCTGGAGCCATATATCTTCATTCTTTGAAATGCGCGTTTGACAACGGATGAGGTTCGACTTACATTTCCAGATCCGTACTTGCTTAGGAGGATCAGTGCAAACAAGAAGCATGAAATTCCCCTCATATTGATGCACAGCTCCATCGACTTCTTTTCAGGCCTGAAATGAAAACGGCAGGCATGAATATTCAGAATTGCTGCTCCATGGCGTTTCCAAACGTAAAATTTACCGGCCGAAAGTTAACTGATGAAAATTCGCAAATGTTCATGTGCGAAAAGGAAATGCGTAAACGTCAAATTATTATTTTTTCTTTATTTGTTCGAAGATTTGCTAGGAAATTTTTTTTGCAAATTTGAAGAAAGTTCTCGTGCATAATTAGTTTCACTTTTGGCATGACACTCCTTTGACATATCCTCTTGAGACATACAGTATTTTCATTAGATGGAAATAGCCAAGTCCTTATGTTTATAAGAATTAAAAATAAAATATCTTGAGGAAAGGAATCGACGCAAGTCTTGGAAAATAATTGCCACAGAAAGATTGCCTCAACATCGACTCTTTAGACACACCAACACCGAATTCCTGTCACAGAGGCCATATTATCAGCAGTTCAAACCCACTCTTGGCTTATTCTGGACGCTCGCGAGATAGACGCATGTCGGAGACTGGAAGGCAGTCTGCGGTCGGAGTGTTCTCAAGGTCAAGCTTCCATATATAGATTTGAGAACGTGAGAGGCCCCCAGGCCAGCGTTCCATTCTGTAAACCTTGACATACTAATTTAAAGCCAGTGTACACACGCCAGGGCCCAGCCCAATCTCATTGTTTCCTTTTACGCTGATCCTATACGGAATCTGTCTCATTTATTCTGCGTACACGGGAACGTTCGGCCTCTGTACTCCGTCCTTGAGAGGAATCTATATCAGTATGAATCCCACTCGCAATTCGCTTCGTCTTATGACCATTGCCGCGAGGTCACTTTCAAGCTGTTTCGCTGTTGACGTTTTTTTTTGGCATGATGAGGGAATTATTTTCCTCAGGGAAAAAAACTCTGAAAATTAAAGCTAAGAAGTTCTTATGGGTCAGTAAGGGTCCAGCGGGACAGAACTAAGATTCACTCAGACAGGCTTGAGTATGTAAAACATACACGCGATTTCAGTTGTAACGACATCTCATTCGATCATTGGAAAGCTTTCCCCATTCGGCGCGACCACATCGGGTCAAGGTTGAGCGAGGACTGACTTTGCAATGCAGAAATGTAGCCACAATCGTGCGCAAGAGATGAATTCAATGTTGCCGCAATGTCGAAATGAAACGCATTTCAACGTCTAAAATACGATCATGTGTCACGTTGTGCCAGCGTTGAATTTTCAACGCTGGGGCATTATGTGTTCCTTTCCTGAGCCTGAACGTATGCCAAGATTGTGTAGAGCTCAAAAATCTTCTGGAGAGTGAAATTGTACACCGGAAGTGTCAATTTAACTAAATTCCATTATTGGATCAGAACACGAGTTTAGAACTTGAATGACATAACTCATTCCGTCCAGCTGATGAGTTACTTCCACTGCTTCACCAAATTCACCACTCCTGCAGGAGAGCCAGACGCACCCCCGCTACCTGGTTAAAACGCTGTCGTTCTCGAAAGAGATATCCGAACAAAGTCATTGTGGGCATCGATGAGAAGTCAAGTGAAGAAAACTGGTGTCATTCCGTCGTCTTGAAGCAGTTATCTAGACTCGAGAGATGGCGCCAGTGCACTCGCAACATAGATTGAGTACTGTGGGATAAAATGTCGACATTTTGCAATTTTAGAACGAATTCAATCCGTGCAGATCTTGCCCTTTAAAAAATATACATCTCACAGGAATTTGGGTGAACGATTCATATGAAAAGTCATCCGGGCATTTGTAGGCAGTTATGTATGTAGAATATATTCTCTTTTAATGTTAGTGGCTTGGAATTTGGGTGACAGAAAAGGCTCTCGCCCATATGGACTATTAGAAGTATTAGGTCTCACACAGATTCCAATTATTCATACCTACACTTCTACATATATTACGCATCCAAGAATTCTCACAGGATTCAGGTAACAAGGATCTTTGACATAAAGTCTCTCAGCACAGCCTCACGAGTGCAACCCTTCCTTTCAAAGTAACTTATTAAGGCAAATTCTGAAAAAATGAACATATGTCTCCTCACCCCCGATGCAGCACCATGCGTAATTACCTCGTGGTTGGGGGCAATCACGGCTAATCAACGAAATCGGAAGTGGTTCCTCGGGCTTCAACCGTCCGCACGCCCTCTTCCAATGTTCGTTTTTGCTAGTTTATGTGTCCCTCCCAGTTCCAACCGCAAAGGAACCGAATCTGGATAACACCAGATCCACCTGGATCAGAACTCGAGTTTATTACTTGAATGACGCAACTCATTCTGTGTCGCAAAGGAGTTATTTCCTTCGCATCCCCTCCAGATTCATCGTTCCTGCAAGAGAACCAGACACAGCCTCGCAGCCTGGTCAACACGCTCTCGCTGTCGAAAGAGATATCAGAGCCCACGCACTTTGCTGTGATGTGAGGTAGGCAAAATCCGCATGTCTTCTCGTACCCCCTAACCAGGGGGTACGAGAAAGGGGGATACGTAAAATGAATGTAAATATTTTGTCCATTTCATATCATTTTTACGCAAACCATTGTCAAGAAAGTGTCAACATGTTTGCAGAAATGTCCCCTCAGTGATATTTCAACGGCGATATAAAATTAACGTAATTTTCATTCCAGTTTGCATTCCAAAGATCATGTTTACATTCATTTTGCGTAATATTTAAGTTAATTTTCCCCTGGCATTCATGCGTATGTAAAGAGTCAATCAGTACCATTGAAGAGAATTGATATACTGAATCTCCTATTCCTTTACGTTCTTCAGAACTCTAGGGTGGTTGGACGAGTACACGATGCTCATCCTCACCAGCACTCAAGATTACCAAGGTGACCTACTGCTTCCTCCTCCTGTACCGGAACCGGGGGAGAAGTAGCTGTTCAAAGGAGCTCATTTTCTTTTAGGATAGAGAAAATGTAGTACTGGGGGAGGGGCCTGGGATTCGACTCTTCCCTAATCCCGTGCACTACTGTAATAAAAAGCTTAACTTCAGCATTTAATGATTCCAAGAGTCATATATTATTAAAAATATATAATAATTTCATGTTTTCCATATATACAGTATATTCAAGGATTGCATAATACAAAGTAGAAGGATGGTAAGAAAACCTGATACTATAACAGGAAAATCAGTACTTAATAGTAATTGTAGGATGCAGGGAACAATGGTTCCATCTAGTGAGGAATCTTGGTACTGCAACTGTAGGAAAGTCAGTTAAAGTTTAACATGCATGGTGTGGTGTTAATTTTTCATAAATTTGATATCATGTACTTCACGTCAGATGGAGTGACGTCTAGTTGAAGTAAAATACACGTACACTTTGGTGATGTAAATATAGGAACGTAAGTTTCACGTAAACGTGATGTCATTCTCATGGCAATCACAAGAAATTTACATAGTTTGCAACAAAATTGATATCTTGTTTACGTGAACATGCTGCTTGGATAGCTTACTTTAGGAATGAATATCTGTTAAAGGATCTTCATCGGCAGAGATTCCTTATAAGGACAAGAGTATCTATGGGTTTGTTGGATAAGCGAAGAGCCAATCTCTTCGCCAATCCAGGTAATCCCAATCTGTTCAGTGGAATCTAAATTGTTTAGGCGTCATGAGCTTTCCCAGGAAATACTGGGGAATTGGTACTTGAGGAGCGAGGGTGATTACTTACTCTCAAATCGGCGTTGAAGTGAAGACCAGCTGGACATTGCATGAGGATGGGGGTACCCCAGTCACAAACATAGTAGGAGCCACAGTCATAAGGGTTTGGCAGAAGAATCGCCTCACCGTCGGGGTCGTTCTCGGGTGGGCAATCCACTGGTGCATCCTTCGCGGGTCCCACAACCTACAAACGTTAGCGATCCATTATAAATACGTTCTGCATAAATGACTTAAATTGGGTATGTAAGGTAATAAGAACTCCCTTAGAGGAAAATTATTCTTGAAGTGCCTGAAGTCTCTCAAGAATGAATTCAGTTGCTCGAAAAACTACTTACTCTGCTGGTAAATCGTTGAAGGTGTAAATTCTTGTGGAAAGTCTTGCTGGACCCAATCCCGACGATGGCAGAGAAAGCAAAGATTGCGATCAAGAGCTTCATTCTTACGGCCGTTTCCTAAATGAATAGTCTCCTGTGAGAAACGAGTCAACAGCATGTTGAGAAATACCATATCAGAAACTCACAGGTAGAAGGCAATATGTGGAGAAGGCCTGAATGAAATCACTTATAAACCGCGTTCCGCTTGCTAGTTGGCACTTCGGAGCACAGCAGCAAGCTGCATCGGGGCTTCAATTTATAGACCCGTTTATCTGTTCTCATGATGCAATTTTGTAGATCAGCAGTTGAAGGTTATCAAGTGGAGCCCTACTGACGCCATTGCAGCTTCGATATGAATTTTTCACAAGGTAGGAATTTTTTTTGCCACGCACACCGGGGATATCCATATATGTTTATAGCATCAGTGATCATAAACTTCGGTTACCATCTGGGGTCGTTCCTCATTTTATTGGGCTATATAATTCAAAATATAATATTTCTATTATTCAAAAATGTGTGTTAAAACTCAGACCAGTTTCTATGGAAGTCTAAGATTCAGGGAGGAGATTGACCAAAAATGAAATGCTCTGCTCAGGAATTAACTACTGATACTGTTGAACTCCGTTGAAAGCGCCAATGGGAAGAATTGGTCTCCACTTCCGAAGACAAAAAACCCTTAAGGTCTGGAGACCATAAAAAATAATATTGAAATTGCAAATACGAGCAGGAGGTGGCATATCTAAAAGCAAGAGTAGATGGCCACGTGATTCCGAGAGCCGAATGGGGAATTTGCGAAATCTAACAATGATCGATTCCGTTTCATGGAACTCTTCGAGGATAAGAAAGTACGACATGAGGTTCAGGAAATCCAATACTTATTTTTCTACAATGCTGATCCGTTGCATTTTGAATAAAAGAATGCAGACCAAATTGACGAATACTTAAATTTGTTCCGCTGCCACTTTGAGGAGTCTGAGTCTGA